TGTCCAGCTTTCGCATCCATATGAGGCTATGGAAAACACCATGGCCTGGGTCAGGCGCACCTTAGTCCTCAAGCTGACATCTCTGCTCTTCAATACGTTAATCTCTAACCATCATTAATGTATTTTATATCTTACCTTATTTCCGTGCAACATGCAAACAGACATGAGGCCACACACTGGTGTACATGCCAACTACTAGAGTACAGTATTTGTTCAATGTTTTGGGGGGACACCTACATACAAGGAAATGCACAGATCTTAGGTGAACCACATGATGAGATATTAGATAGGTGTGTGCACCTACAGAATCAAACCCAAGTCAAGATAGAGAATATCTTAACCCCACTTCCCAGAGAAATCTACTAGCTCATTTTAAATCTTCCTGTTTAGAACTTCAGGTAAACGGAGTCATACTGTACGTAATCTTAGCTTGAAGTTTCTTTCATACTGCATTATATTTTTTCAGACAAATCTCTGCTGTTGAGGGCATCAGATTTCTATTTTTAAAATGCCTATATTATTGCTGAATCATTTTTACTTTTTATAAACACACCACAGTTGGTTTATCTTTTCTCCTCTTGATAAACCACTGGACTATTTCCTGTGTTTGACTGTTATAAATAAAACTGTTATTACCATTCTTGGATGAGGTTTTGTAGGGGTTTTTTTTTTTGTGTGTGTGTGTGTGTTACAGATGTCCTCGTCTTCTTTTTGAATGCAGGAATGCTTTGTTGTTGTTGTTAAGTGCCATCGAGTCGGTACTGACTCATAGTGACCCCTATGCACAAGAGAAGGAAACACTGTCCAGTCCTGGGCCAACCTCACACTTGCTGCTATGTTTGAGCCCATTGCTGCTGCCACTGTGCCAATCCATCTTGTTGGGGGTCTTCCTCTTTGTCTCTGACCCTCCACTTTACCAAACATGATGTCCTTCTCCAGGGACTGGTCCCTCCTGATAATATATCTGAAGTATGAGGGACAAAGTCTGGCCATCCTGGCCTCTAAGGAGCATTCTGGCTGTATTTCTTCCAACAGAGATCTATTTGTTCTTTTGGCAGCCCATGGTATTTACACTAAAGACCTAAGAGCAGAAGAATTGTGGGATAATATCAAGAACATCATACAGGAAGAAAGCAAAAAGTCATTGAGAAAGCAAGAAAGAAGGAACAGGTCAAAATGGATGTCAGAAGAGACACTGAAACTTGCTCTCCAGCATAGAGATGCTAAAGCAAATGGAAGAAATGAAGGTCCAAGAACTGAACAGAAAATTTCAAAGATCAACTCGAGAAGATAAAGCCAAATATAAAAACAAAATGTGCAAAGATCTGGAGTCAGAAAACCAAAAAGGAAGAACACGCTCAGCATTTCTCAAGCTGGGAAAACTGAAGAAAAAAATTCAAGCCTCAACTTTTGTTATTGAAGTATTCTCTGGGCTAATTATCGAATGATGCAGAAAGCATCAAA